TTCCATGGCTGGTTAGAATTTGAGTATGTGACTGGAGAGGGGGGCAAACAGTCCTTAACTGTTGGGTTGATGATGATGCTGGTAACGGAGAAGTTACATTTTTATGGAGAAGGCAGGGTTGGGAAGAAAAAACACACTTGATCCATATAAAGGGATTTTCAGCCTCATCTCCGCCTATGGTGACAACTATATAACTGAATGATAATTAACTTGAAAAAACAATTGACTAAAGCTATTTAAAAGCTGAGATGGGAAGAACGAAGGCTAAAAGGCCTGCCGGAAACCTACACATAGATATATTTCCAATTTTCTGGGTGGTTCTCAAGTGACGAGGGAACCAAACCTCCTTTCATTTTAGTTTTAACTTACACTCAGTCATATTCAATCAGCAGTGCTGTTGCTGTAAATGCAGGGAAGGTGCTGACCCATCATGTTACCTAACATTCGATCAATAGCTTCCCTTCGCTCAGTGTAGTTTATAATCAATAGGGCCTGCTGGACTTGTCTTCTGGGCCTCACGTTCTGCTTTGCCAAAGAGAAAGAAGTCTCAGGTGGGGTGGGGTAAGAAGCACACGGCTCTCTGTGAAACGCAAACCTTCGCTTGTCTCGCCACATCACAGCGACTGCCATTCTCTTGTCATCGGATGAGTCATTTGGCGGGTCTTTTTTTTTTTTTTTTTTGTGGGACCCTCGCCAGTGGCCGGGGAATGAACCAGCGCTGCAGAGGCTACAGGCAGCCTCACAGCCCAGCCTCAACCGCTGCGCCACCAGGTGAGGCCCTGGCGGGGCTCTTTTAAGAGCTGATGTAGTAAAGAATTTTCACACACATTCACATGTGACCTGACTGCTCCGTCATACTATATTACAAAGGATCAAATGAAAAAAAAAAAAAAAAAGGTGGGAAAGTAGATGTATCATTATTTGAGATACACAACTGAAATAATTATGCGTGGTTGAAAAATGACATTAATTAAGGTGATTTGCATAAGTACATTCAGCACATCTTGGAATTAAATGAAGAATATACAGTCCTTTTTGTCTATTTCAGAAAAGGCTCCTTAATTTTTTCTTCTATTCTCTTAGCAAATCTTGCTCCTCTGGGTGTGTTTTACCTTTAAAGCTCTTTCATGAGCATGAAATCAAAAGCATTTCACTTTAATTGCCACCGACCGGGCCAAGTCAGGCAGGCCAGAGGCACAGAGGAAAGGGGCCAGGGTCTGAAGCCAGGTCACAGGGGTTAGAACCTCGCTCTGCCCCTCACAGGCCACAGGGACTCACTTACCCTATCTGGACCACTGTTTCCACCTCATCAAAATGCACACACAACAGTATTTTTTTCTCACAGAGTTGTAGTCAATGGAATATTGCATATAGTATGGCAAATTGAACTAAATAAACATTGGCTGCAATCCATGTCTTCATATTAGTATCATCATAATTTTAAACCTGCTGGTAGGTGCTGGGGGCTTAAAGCAGAGACCCTTGTCATTGGAAGGAGAAAGGCATATGAACAAAATATAGAAAGGGGTCCTCAGCTCAAGGAGGAAATAACCAGTGGGGGAGGGTGTTAAGATGTGAAAGCCTATTACTCAGCAATCAAAAAAGATAAACAGACACAATTTGCAGCAACATGGATGGAGCTGAAGGGATCATGCTCAGCGAAATAAGCCAGAAAGAAAAAGAAAAATACCGGATGGTCTCACTCATAGCAGGAATCTAGAAAACTTAAATAAGGGACCAGGAAAAAGAATAACTATAAAAAAGAAAAAATCAAAATCAACAAACAACTATGAACCAGAGACACACAATGGGGGGGGGGCGGGGGAAAGGAGGGATTGGGGTCAAAATAAGGGGGTTGCAATTGTATGGGGAATATAAAAATAAAATTAAAAAAAAATAAAAATAAATTATTAAAAAAAAAAAAAGATGTGAAAGCCTGGAAAATTCCTTGATGCCATAGCACTGTACACGGCTCTGGCAAGTGATGAGAAAATCAACATTTACAAAGGACTGTGCTCAAGTGAAGCCTCAGAATTCTTGTTTCCTGATCCCAGAAACTCTAAAGATATAATTACCCAATGGCCTTTCCCGCAAGTCACAGAGGCAGATGCCCCCCATGAATATGTTTTAGTGCCAGAGAAACCCAAGGTGTCACTGACATTTGCACACAAGTGCCTGAGGTGATGGGACCCCTGGCTGAACCAGAACCAAGAGGAAGAGGAAAAGGATTCCAGAAGCTTCCAAACAAGTGCTGGGTGGTGCACCTGCTCCAACTTCCAGCAGTGCTGAGATCCCGGGGCCCAGGGGAGACCGCCATTCCTGTTGTCACTGAAGAGAAGGGCTCTCTTCCTGCTACGGTGCTGTGTACACCTAGCCCCCATGCACACATTCTGCTCCCACATTCTGATTTCTCACTCTTCAAAATCACAGGTGACTATTATTTTGAATTCCTCAGCTTAAATCCAAATTAAGCCAGTGCTCCGGGAACTGATATTTTGGGCTTTCCAGAGCACAAAGCTCACTGCCTCAGGTCACAGAGCATGCTGCTTTTCCTAAGTTGTTTTTTTTTTTTGTTTGTTTTTTGGTTTTTTTTGGTATACTCATAAGTTAGACTTTAATGGAGTGGCAAAAAAAATCTTTACTGTTTCTTTACTCCACGTACAACTTGATTTCCATTTTAAACAAATCATTGTCGTCTAGTGTTTATTTCTGAGCCATTCTCAGTGTCATTTATCTCCCCAACATCACAGTGAAGGTGGGTTTCCTGCTTCCCATCTCCTGACCCTCCAGCTGACATCACATGGCTGTTCCCCACTGAGGGACAATCTAATCACAGCAGGGGCCGTGCTGTGCCACCACGCACAAGGCGAAGCGATGGACAGACGACAGACAGCAGGAGCCATGGGTGGGGAGAGCTGATTTCAGCAGCAGCCAGTGGGGAGAGAGAGGAGGACCCTCTATCAGGGCACCCAGAGGGAAAAGAAAAGGACTTCAGACCTGAATCTGTAGTAATAACAGGAGGGGTGACTATGCCCTTGGCCCCACTTACCTTGGAGTGAGCTAGAAATGAAATGCAGTCAACAGCTGACCACCTGGGTGCTGAGCTTAGTCAGGGAGCAAACAAGTATGAATTGAAACTCTTCCCTCAATACTCGGTCATTTCTGTAAGGGTGACTTTGCAAGTTCAGGACTGTATGTCAAGGTGAAATGTATTTCAATTTCTTCCCATTGTAGTAAATTTCTAAGCCTAATCCCAAATTCCTACAATATTCAAACATCATATTTACAAGGATATCCATCAAAAATCCCAGGTGAAATATGAAAGGAATTTGATTTTTTCCCTATGAGAACTGCAGCGGAAATCACCTTCATGCTTTACCAGCAATCAACTCCATAAACACCAATTTTCTAAGAGAGAACTGAAGGAAAAATACAACCCACAACTGATCGCTTTTATCACACGTTATTCCTTGGGGGCAGAGCTGGCTGATGAGATGATATTAAAGAATCGCAGCTAGGAACCATGACACGTTTAAGGAGAGGAAAGGTCCCAGTTAACCAGTCAGATCACCCGATGGTGGCGCCATATTAAAGAGTGACAGATCCTCGATGTGCCTTTTGTTTTCCAAAATGTACCAAGAGTTGCCAGAAGAAGTGAAGTCTTGAGACAACAGAGGGAAAGGCGAGTGGGGGAGGAAGGCAGCGGAGGCTGCATCACACCAGGCTTTTTGGTGGTCTCTGCCCAGCTCTCTCCCGTAATCCACCTGGGCCCTCCCACGCCCAGTTCTCAGCCTCCTGCACTGCTCCTGACTCTCCTCCTTAACTACTGTCAACTCTGCACAGATACAACCGGCCCGAAGCAACACTTCCTAAGCGACGCCCACGCTTGCCAACTGGACGAAGACCAGCAAAGGTGCCTCTTCAATAGGGCTTTCCTTTAAGTATTAATAAACATTCTTTACACATGAGCCACAAGACACTGGAAAAAGACAGGTTGTGAAAAGACAGGCTCATGTTAAAAAGAGCAGTGACTGTACAGGAAAAGTCTGCCTGCATGAGGGATAACAAATGATAATGAAAATGAATAAAGATAATGATGAATGGCTGGCTGCTAATTGGCACCAATGAATCTGATAAGCTGTGACAAGTCAGTAGGAAACTATGGTCCTATTCTTTCTGACAGTGGCCTTTATAAAATTAATAATATTTGATTTTTCAGAAGTAGCTAGCAAATGCTGAAGCCAAATGTTAGCTCTTATTCAATTTCTAAAAAATTGGAGATAGGCTGGGGAGTGCTAGCCTTTAAAATGTCATATTAAAGTTTCAAAATAATCTCTAACCTCCAGAATACTTTGAATTACTGGATTGGAAATTTTAAATATTGTAAAAAAAAAAAAGTCACTCTTCTTCTGTTAAAAAAATTAGTCTATTGAAGATTAGCAGATCTAAATGCCATTATGAAATACACTGAAATGAGACAGATTCAATTCTGGAACCATTTTATGTCTATCTTTGCTTTGCTGTTTGCTTTAACTGCTACTTTTGGCAAATTCCATCTTGTTGCCATAAACTATGTTAAAATATTGCTAGAAGGAAGAGAGAACAAAAACAGGATAAGCATACTAACAAAGTTCTAGCCAAAAGTGTTCAACTATAAGAAAGCACTTTCAGTTACAGAGACATTTAGAAAGTATTTTCTGGAGGAGGTGGGCTTAGGTACAGTTCAGTAAGGAGAGCTTCTTACCTCTGAAGCATCTTTTTGAACCAGGATTATAATAAAGTTAATTACCAAATAACATGAAAATTGTGTTCCTGGGTCAACAACAACAAAAAATCGATACAGAGGTACTGGAGATGGGAAGACATAGATTAATATGGTTGAACCATGCAAGTCCCTGCTTCTGGTGATCATGTCCAAAGCCTAGTGCAGAACTGGGGCCCCTGCCTGAGTGACAGAGGCAGAGCTGTGTTTCCATCACAACAACCTACGGTTTACTCACCATGTGTGCCTCAAATGACGCGGGGATGAGGGACTGGTTCAACAGGTTGAGCATCCTGGAGGACTCCTTCAGGACAAAGATACTGCCAAAATCAACTTGAGAAGGATAAATATAGACAACCGGGCCTTCTCCGATGCTCTTTAAGTGACAGACCTGCATTGCACACAGGAGAAAGCACAGAGGAGTACCTGAAAAAGGCTGGCGCATAAAATCAATTGAAACAGGTTTCCAGGCACCCCTTTTGTAAAAAGCCGGGGTATAAGCGAACTTATTAGAACTGACATCCCTTCTATCTGGACTCTGTAATCAGAGGGACAGAGGTGGCCATGCTGGGCCAGTCCTGTGACTCCCGACTGGGGTTCCCCATCAAGAAGGACAATCCACTTCCCTGAGTCAGCCTAAAGCCATGCAGAGGGAAACTGGAACCACCTAGCTCCATGAGCCGGCCAGCCCGTGGCCCGAGCACACCGAGCGTGGGGCGAAGGGCTGACACTTGCGCGTCAGTGTAGCTGGACAGAGTCCCACTTCTGTTGCGTTACGTGACAGGGCTGTCCACGGTGCACAGCTGTGCAGACTGGGGATGACCAACCTGACAAATCTAACTTGCTCTGCTCCCCTTTTTTCCCTGTGCCCTCTGCCAGGGACTGTCTGCCTGAGGAAAGGGGTGCCCGTTTCTTTCATGAAATGCTGCCTCCTCAGCAAGCCACCTCTGAGGGGTGTGCACAGTGGGCACAGTGGGGTGAGTGCAAGACCTGGACCATGGCATCTTGGGGCTGACCTCCCTTAATAACGCTGCTCGTAAGCCAGGAGACTCAACTATGGTGTCTGAGACAGAAGAGATACTCCCGGTCTAGAACACTTCAAGCAGTTGGAGTCTCTTCGAACAAATGCAGCTGATATCACGCAGCTGCCAAGCAAGCCAGGTGTCCAGGGGTTTATAGCCTGGTGGGCAACTTCTTCCAAGAGCTCAGGCCGCCGAGAGGAGAGATGTCTGGTCTCCCTCTCCTCTTACCTGGAGCGAGCCTACGCTGTGAGAGCCTCGGCGGGTCACTTTGGGCCTTGAGTCCAGTGACTACACAGGAAGAGATTTTGTGAGTGGGGCGTGAACCCCACCTTAGAGTCCACCTGCAGTCAGCTAGCAGGACCCCACTTGGGTCCAGAACGACTGGGGTGGCCCTCTCCCCTCAGACACTGATTAATCGGCCTGGAGAGGAGACCGGCAGGAGACGTCGCTCCCCTTAGATGCACCTGAGGCTCCAAGGTCACCAGCACTCATATTTGGAGACTGCAGACTGGAACTGTAAAACTTGGAAGTCCATTTGGAGGAGGTGGGAAGTGGTGTGGGCCTTAAGTGGGGAGGCTTGAAACACCTGACAGAAACTAACTACGGCCATGTCATTATAACTGCAACACACTCACCATTGGGGGGTCCCGGCTCCCGAAGGTCAAGATGTAAACAGTGGACCTGTGCTCTCCCTTGACCTGGGTCTCCAGGGCCAGCGGGATGTGGATCGTGCTGCGGGGAGGGATGATCCCACAGGGGGTGGGGCTGGAGAGCAAAACGGTGGGTGAGTCCTCTGGCACCTGGTGGGAGAGGTGAGTCAGAGGTTAGCCCGCCCGCCGCACTGCGTGAAACGCCTTGCTCAGTAGGTTATTTTGATACGTATGTTGTCCTGAGTCCACAAAGGTCCTTTAGATATTGCTCAAGCAAGTAAATGGGGATGAACATCCTGATTCAGCATCCTGGTTCCAAAAAGGAAGTTTCTGGAAACTTCCTTCCAAAAAGGAAGCTTGATTAAGTACCCTTTAAACACCCCCAAAGTGCACAACCCAGCGAGAGGCAGAAATGAGCCACAGCACCAATTAGCTCAGGATGACAGCTCCCCACATTCCTGCACCCAGCCTCATGCATCCATGCTTGGATCCCTACCGCCTTGTCCCTTTGCAGTTCGTCCAGAGAGGCCACTGGCATCTCCTGAGCATGAGACACTCCTTCCATCCTACCTCCAACCTTTTCACTATGCTGATGCTGCCAGGAAAACCCTCTCCTGTCAACTGCCCTGTGCCTCATCCTGATGTTCCCAGTGCCCTCAGTGCTCTGGAGCTGGGGTGGGTCCTGTGTGCTGGGCAGACCCTGTGGTCCTCTTTCACAGCATGCACTATGTGTCTTTCTCCAATGACTGGGAGCTCAGGACCTAACCTGGCCTCTCCTCAAAATATGCCTGCTTTTTTTTGGCCTCAAATGTACACTCAGCGCATATCTTTTAAATGGGGAGACAGGTTGGGGGATATGAATGAACGTTGACCAGTGTAACCAGGGGAAGTTGCCTGGAGTCCTGTCCTATGGTGAATCGACAGCTTTTATGCAACAGTCACAACAGCAAATAAAACCGTCAAAATCCTGTGGCCAACTTAGTTTGGGTGATTCTGAGCAATACTTTTCAGAGGCTCGGCTCTGGGAGAAAAGGACAGGTGTACAGGTTTTACCCTCTGGAACACTCTGGCCTGTCTGTGGCTGGTCTAATCTAACTCACCTGCCTGAGTGGCGCGCTCTGCCCCCAGCCCAGAGCCTCAGCAAAAGGGAGAGGCAATAGCACTGATCTTGTCTTTATCTAATATTTTCATATTTTGTTCACTATGGATTTTTCTTGGTATTTTGACTTCTTAAAATGATGCATGAAAACATTATTTTTCTCGATGCTAAAGTTCTGGGCTCCTCTTTATACGTCCTCCAGGCAAATGTCCTACCTTTTCCCAACCCAACCATGCAAGAATAGCTTCCCCTTCATCCCAATACAGGCTCAGCTCTCAGTTCTTGAAGTGACCGTGGCTGTTTGCTGCTGAGCATCTCAAAGTTAGATAAGCTATCTCCCATCCCCCACCCTGACTTATAGCTTTAGTTCAGAGGGGGTGAGAGATTAATCCTAATTCCCTCTGTTACACGGCAGACCTTCAACTAGACACAGCTGGCTAGCTCGACCCGGCCAAGCTTTCTCTGCTCCCGATTAAATGTTGCCTCTGCTCCTCATGTGACTTGTTTCCAGATGCCGTAGACTGCCACCCCGGTAGCTGCAAACACAATTCATTTTCTTTCAAGTTTCCAACTTTTCTTTTTAATGTCAAGATCTGAAAAGAAATTTCTGACACTCCTTTGATCACTATCTCTTTCCTCCCACACCCTGGGCCGGTCCCGGCCTTCCCTAGCTGACTGCGTGTCTCCCTGACGCAGCCTCTAGCCTGCCTTGGTTTGGCAGCCCCACACTGATCTTTTAACTCACTTTGAACTTGGACCCAAGTAACCCCCCGGCTTGACTGTCTAGGGCATAGATTTTTACTAGAGTGCTGTGCTTTTAGAATTGAATTTTAAACCCAAATGCATTCTTGGAAAACTGCATCCCTTAGTAACCTTCCGTGACTCCTTCTGCACAAAGCTTGCTGAATCCTTTATCCACACATTCTCCTGCTTGGTATCCCACCTGTCCGGCTGCCGTGGCATACAGACAGGTCCATTCATAAAATATCAATGGTCAATTCCTCCTTTCTGCTCTCCAGCTTTCTGGTCCAACACACCCAATTATAAACAGTGCATCACTGCATCTTAGTGACGCCCTTCCAGTCACAGCCAAGGACTTAAATGAACACCCCCGGTTCTGCCTCGTTTCCCCCGGAGGGTTAACTCATGGGGAATTATTTGCATGTGTTGGTTTAGTTGATCCTCTCCCTTCTTGAGCAAAGGCAAATCCCTTGGGAAATTAACAACTGTTTCCCATTGCAGTTGTTCACCCACACAGGTGGCAACCCAGCTGCAGCTCTGTCACCCACCCCCAGAGTATCCCAGGGTTGAAAACCAGAACTGCATAAAGGTCCTGTGTCCAGGAACAGGGCTCTCTAGAAGGCCTTCCTTTCTCACTGAGGGACTCCAACTGAAGAGCTGACTCTGAAGGAGGCCGGAGCAGCTCACCTGCGGCAAGACCTCATAGCATCCTGGGATGTTGTCGAGATTGACAAGCTGGACGTACTTCTCATACGGGTACTTCAGGAAGCAGCGCCCGAAGTCCACCTCTGTGTTAACCATTTGGAGGGCAGGCACGGCACACCTGCTCCGGGTTACCCGGGAAAGAATTAAAGAGGACAGAGCTTGTTGACACCCCGAGAACACAGAGTCCCGAGTTAGGCACATCAGTCACTGTCACACCATTGTTTATCTCTAATCACTACATTAATCATTTTCAAATCTTCTCTCCTATCATTGCCCTCTCTTGGCCCCCAGTCACCGCTTTTTAATCAAAAAATGGCTAGAAGCAGGACTCCTTAAACAGCTGACTCTGCGGGCTAATGACTAACATTTCCACTGTCTTTCAGATTCGGCCTTCTTTTCGCAAGGGGCCCTCACCACGCGTTCCTTAGGCTGGTGGATCTGTTTCCATGACAAACAGGGCCAGAGCCACCAGCAGGGGTCCAACTGGCTGTGACACTTTGGACCAGTCAGAGGCCCCTGAGGACTAGCAACAGCTCCCGCCATCTAAATCATGGTGATAATTCTAATTCCTATGCAGAACAGCTGTCTTGGATCAGCAGGCTCAGGCAGCTGTGCACCCAGAACCGGCCCCCTGCCAGCGGTTCTCAGCATGGAGGGATGGCGTGGAGCGGGGAGAGCTGTGTGCGGGGGAGGGAGCGACTGAAGCCCCATGTGCGTGGCTGGTCTATTATTAGGTGACTTGGGTGTTAGTTTGTGTCTGTGCATCTCGGAGTTGGTTCTGCCCTGCGCACTGTCACGCCACCCTGCGTGACTCGGACAGAGCCAGGGCCAAGGACTGACCTGGCCAAGTGTGACCTGGATCACCTTGAGTAAATTGCTTTCCCCCCCAATTTTGCCCAGAGGTACAATGAAGGGTGATTCTGGGAACTGATGTTAGCATTTTTAACGCTTCCTAGGGAGCTGTGGGAAATGCAGGAGAGGAGGTGAGTGAAGGAGAAAGCTAGTGTCCCACATGGGCTGGCTCAGTGGGGATCAAGCAGAGTGGAGGACATGGCAGGCAGTCACTGCCATTGAGGGTGACTCCGTGGAGAATTACTTTAGGGATCAAGTTCAAAAAGCAACTATCCTACAGATTACACCAAGAGCAATGACATGAAAGTGATTCTTACTAACCCCAACATTTAGTTCCAGATGGGGGTTCATTTTTAGCTAGAATGCAAGTTGTCAGATGACCCAGTGGCTTTTATAAAGCTGCCTTTTTCCTACCTGAAGCACTGTGGCTGAGAGGGTTTCGAGAATGTGACTTGGGTCCTGGAGTAAATAAACATAGTATGAAATTTCTAGTCTCTTAGGACCTTTGTTTTTAAATTTAGGATTTCTTATTGTCAGAAAGGGACTGAAAAGTATTAGGAAAACCCCACACAGAAAAGAAATCCTAGACCAAATGGAAAAACTTGGGTATAAAGAAGACCAGATGAAAGAGTGTCTGTTGTTTTTAAACAAGCAGAAAAATCAGTTGTGTCTTTGGAAGGAAGACCTTCAAGGTCTCTCAGGGCTGCTGTTTGGCTTCACCGAGCCCATGGCACATGAAGTGGGGGCAGTTTTCCCTCATCAAGGCACACCGTCCTCCCATTCACAAGTGAGAGTCCCACATTCTACGAACTGATATATTGTCAGAGTATGATGAGGTCTCTTTCTCTGTTTCCTATAGATTGCATTTTCATATCACACTGCAAAGTCCTAGCCCCAGACACCGTTTGCATTGCTGAGTGTATGTGGCCAGTGATCTGATTTTGGGTCACTGCCATCATCTGCAGATGACACAACAGCCTTCATCAGAGAGACTGGACTGTAGTCAAGGAGAGGCATTCAGCAGTTGGCAAGGCCGACCTCAACCGGACTCCAGAACCCACCTCAGTGAAAGGAGCGGAATTGCTGATGGCCCCGGGGATCCTGCTGCTCCCGAGGTGCCTCATCTGGGGGCTGCTGGCAGCCTGCCTTCCCATCACGCCACCGTGTCCCAGAGGTGGAATGTCTTGCCAAGCAGCTAGGGCTGGGAGCACTGCTCTCCACCGCCCACCTCTGGAGCACCAAATTCCTGCTCACATCTTTCTACTTCCATGAACAGTGAGCCCCATTAGTGAGGGCTGTGGTTCCTAAGACTGCAACACACACATATCCCTTTGGTCTCTACCAAAGGTGCTCTAGAAACCTTGACTGCTTTAAAGTTTTGTCATTTATCAGACTCAGCTTCCCTTCCCAGGAAGGCAGAGCAAATCCAGTGTGAAGTGGCTGCAGGCATGTCACCTGCTGGAATGACAGGCCCTTCCTGGTGGCTTGGGGGGTAGCAGGGAGACATGGCTGGTGCCCAGGGTACCTGGCTGTAATAAGGAGCGCCAGCACCTCTTCTCCAATGCCCTCCACATCGACCACCAGGGCCAGCTCGTATTTCTGCACAGTGTTGGAGCATAAGGTCACCTGCAAAGAAAAAGGTGAAAAGTGCTCTTCCACAAGGCCAGCTGTCTGCACCAGATGGAAAGGAGTCAGAGCAGCACCTAAATGACCAGTGTGGCTTTCAGTGCTTCCTGGGACACAGCACGTGTGATGTTTTTGGCTGAACAAGTTAGGGCATGCTGACTTTTTCCAGGAACCAAGTGGCTTTTAGTACCATAGGCGCACTCATTTCAGAAGAGGTTGCAGCAAAGAAGCCACAGAATTGCACGAGGGGGAAATGACCCTGAAGGCTGAGCAACAGCAAACAAAGTTTAATTACTGTGACTGCAGTTGTTCCCTATGCCTCTGGGCTACATAAATTATGAAAATTCAATATACCAATAAAACACTACAGCTAAATTTCTCTTACAGCAAAATAAATGAACACAACTGTGTCAGTTCCTGGAAATGGCATAAGAAATCAATTAGTCATTGTTTTACCAAAATCTTGCCCTTCTCATGCCCCTCCAAGCCAGCCCCCCTCTTCAAAATTCATTATTAGAACAGGAAATAGGAAGCTCCGAAGAAAAGCCTATCTGAGAACCATACCTGGTTGGAATAGTTTACTCTCTGTTTTTAGTTGCTGTTGTGAAATGTTATACTTAGGCTTTTGAACGCCTCATTACAATTTTTAATTGCTTTGAAATGATTTACACTTGAAGAGATACTTATTAGTCTAGAAGACAGTTTCTGGCACAGGTTAAGGTTTTTCTGTCTATAAATTATGTATCTGGTACTAATTAAAATTTTTTTGGTTGCAGAGGGAATCCCTGGATGTAAATTTGAGTCCAGACAGACCCGGTTCAAGTGCAGATCCAGGAGGAAAATTAAAGTTTGGAGAAAGCTTTTCCAAATACAAAAGTAAAATCAGGTGAAGATGGAGTCACAGACTCAGGAAGAAAATCTATCAGATTTGGGGAGAAGTAGCTGCCCCAGCATGCGAGTCCTGGTGTGACTCTAACCCTTGTTTATGTGTTGGAGATATGGGTAGAAGGCAGAGAACAAGTGGTTCTGGCAGAAGACTGCTGGATAGATGCAATGTCTTCTAAAATCTCTCTGCACTAAATCAGAGAGGCCAAAAAATAATAATTGGAAAGCTAGTGACATGCAGGCTGAGCCTTATTCAGTAAAAGAGAAATAAACTCACCGCCACAGTAATTCCCCTGTCAATTCCACTAACAACTATGCAGCCTAAAAGGCTGTGTGCCCCCCAACTCATGCATGGAAACCCTAACCCCCGGAGGAGATGTTCACATTACCCTGACAGCAGCAAATCCCTGGGGGCGAATGGTGCCACTGTCAGGAATGATGGTGAATTCTTTTGGCTTCACTGTGGGCATCTCATCACTGTCCCAAGACAGTCTCCTGTTGTTGGAATACTGCTGGCAACATGAAATGCTTTTATGGCCAATGCCATCCCCAGGGATGCGCAGTTTGAAGGTCATGGGGACCAAGGAGGTGTTGTTGAGAGAACACATCAAAGTCTGAGGAAATCCTGGAAAAAGAAATAGGAGGTGTGAGAAATGAAAGTTCCACAATGGCCTCCCTTTCACCTCAAGCTCCCTGAGCTACCACCCAACCTCCTCAATGAATAGTCTCTGCATCTCATCACTCCTTCCTCAGCTCCAATCCTCCCTGGCGCTGTTTTCAACTGTGTGATCAGTACATACAATTTTCACTCATCCCATGAATATTTACTCTGCGTTTACTATGGCAATAGATATAAACCAAACCTTGTCGAGAGGCAGCTTCTATTATCAGTTTGCTGAGTAGTCTTCCAGAAGTATACTTGCATTTAATTTTGGCATAGAAATACATTTTTCAAAAAAAAAAAAAAAACCCATGCTTGTTTTTCTTATCTTCCAAGTGTGGGTACAAAGAGGAGGCTGTGAGGGTTTACCCGCTGGGTGACCCCAAGCCGGCCAAGTCCTTATATAACTTATCCTGGACTTGTCTGAGGCTCACGCTCTCAGGGTTGACGGCACAAAATCGAACAGCAGCCTCTTTAGGAGAGAGACTACACCATCTGCTTCTGAGTCAGTCAGAGACTAATGCCTGGGCTTCTACCTCTCTTAGACAAAACTACTTTTGCATGTTCTATCTTACTCCCCACATTTAGCCAATGAGACCCGTGTTCCTTTCCTAAGAGATGTGGCTCTTCCTCACCTGGCAAACAATAAACTGGGTCCTGATTGTGGATCCCTGAGGTGGCTGCTGTATCTGCTACCACTATCAGAAGGAGAATTGTCTACAGCCAGAACAAGTTCTGTATTTCTCCTAGAGGTTAACCGTGCCCTTTCTGCTTCTCACCCAATAGCAATAGAACACATCTGGTCTCTAGGAGGTATGACCCAGTGTGGCAGCAGCCAGGGGCAGTGGGTGGGGGGCTTGAAAGAATCTACTTTTCTCCTCAGGTCTGAGCCTTTGTCTGGACCTGAGGATGGTGAAAACACCCATGCAGTTATCCTTTGTGACACCACCCCTGCTGATCTATTATATGTGGAAGAGATAGTTCATGGGATAAGAATTGCCAGGTTAAGTGCAGTTAAGGGGTTATTCTTGGAAATTCCAGAGAACCTGCTCAAGAGTCATTCTCAGTGTGGTATAACTACCACACTGGCCTTCTCTGAGCTTGTCCAACAGTGACTCTAGAAACCGCACATCCCATTCCCTCAGGGGCTGAACATTCTTCTAGTGTCAGGTCTATTAGGAGTTGGTCCTACAAAGTGTCAGATGGGTCCTTCCAAACCAGTGCTCAGGCAACTTCCCTGAAGCTGGTTTTTCAGAGAATAAAGCCTATTTTGAACTCCTAGCTAGAACTTTCCTAGCACAACAACCACTAATGCCCCCATGTTGCTTGTCAAGAAGCCTAGTAAGGACACTAGCTAATTATTATAGACCAAGGGGTGGTAAATAGGAACAGCATGCCTGGGCTTCCAGTTGTACCAGATCCAAATGCTATTCTGACTTTCATTTCCTCTGAAGGCAAGTACTTCTCTGTGTAGACCTCTCTTCTCCCTTTTCTAACATCTGGTATATAAAAACTCAAGATTTATATCTTTTTTTGAAATAATTAAAACACACTTGGACAGAATGCCTCCAAGATTCACAGAGGCACTTAAGTACTTGTCCCAGTACTTAAATAATGATTCAGAAGACAACATGCTCAGGAGATTGGATTCTCACTCAACATGTGTATTTTCACTTGACCTAGAAAGCCCCTAAGAAGAATTCTAAATGAAACAAGGAGCTAAAGATCATATGGCTAGAAAGGAAAAACTTCAGTTCTGACAAAAAGGTAGTACTTGATTTGGAAACTGATCTCTCTTCTAACGAATGGACCCTGGGCCTCCCCGGTGGCGCAGCGGTTGAGAACTGGGTTGCGAAGCTGCCCGCAGCCTCTGCAGCGCCGGTTCCATCCCCAGTTGCTCCCCACCACTGGCGGAGGGTCCCACATGGCACGCAGACCTCTCCTGCCGCCCGCTGCTCCCCTCAGCAGTGTACTTCGGTCCTTCTGCCTGCTCTGCTCCCCGCTCTGGCTCTGGTGAATTCTCTCACCCTCCCACACTTCTGACTGTACCCAGTGCTTGTATAAATAAATAAATAAATCTTAAAAAAAAAAAAAGAATGGACCCTGGCTAAGGGCAGTATTAAACTGATTAAGCAATATCCATCACCAAACATTAAAACTATGATTGATAGACTTTTGGGGATTCATGGGATATTTTAGACCATGGCTCCTAATTTCTCTAGTGAAATAAAAATCTCAACAAGGCAATGGGAAATATGTTGGCAGGTCATTGTATAAAACAGGTTGCCTTTTTGTAGTTGTCTAGAGAAACAGTTCAGAACATGGGAAATAAATAAGCACATATATGCAAGCCATTCTGGACATGGATTTCTACCTAGAGAAGAAATATTCTCTAAAATTGGAATTCTCTGTCCACTTCAAATGTCTCTGATAGGTGACAGCAATGGTGTGCCCTCTTAGAACTGATCTTTGACAAAAATCTTAAACCACGGACCCCATTATAGAAGAGACAAGATAACTCTGAGTAAGAGATGATGGGATCCTCTCTCCTCTGTACTGGGATCTGGCTGGCTCCTCCTTCACACATTAAAGCCATATTTCAGGAAAACAGCAGTGGGACATGGGTTTCAAATACAAACAGACCATTCCCAAGGCACACCGCTAAGAATATATTTTTGTGGTTGTCTATAAATTCTTTAGGTGGATTTGAGCCTTCCTACAGAGAAAGCTTACCACCAGAACAGTGACTAAGAAGTTGTAGGATATAACTTTCCCACCTGAAGGAATTAGGAAGTAATTCTTAGAGAATTACAAAGAATCTCATAGTATGTCAACCATTTGATCAAAAATTTCCCAATGGGTAATTCTTGGCAAACATAGAGCACAGAGAAGGTATTATTGATCTTAAATTGGTCAAGCTCAGAGGTTCCTGGAGTTCTCTGCTGCAGAATTTTACCTTTGGTTCTAATGGCCATCCAATCAGGTTAGTTCCCTCTGGAACTCACATTTTATGTAACTAGCCATGTGATCACAAGTGTCTGACCAATCACAATCAAGTTTGCTTCATGTGGATAAAAACTAAATGTTGTCAAGAACCAACTCAGCTGTCAGTTCAAGAAGCCTTCAACAAAAACTCACCCTCAGAAAAGTCTCCCTTCTTTCAACCTCAACAATGAGTACTCTGGAAAAAAATACACCAGTGGCCTTTAGGGCCTTTAGGGCCTTGTAACAACTGCAGTTAATTTATGAGGTGACCTTTGAGTAAGAAACCCCTCAAAGAGGATGTGGAGAAAAAGAGGGTGAAGGTAGGCTGGTCCAGCCTTCTGTGGAAAACAGTATGGCGATTTCTCAATATATTGAAAATAGATCTACCATATGATCCAGCAATTCCACTCCTGAAGAATGCAAAAACACTAACTTGAAGGGATATGTGCATTCCTACGTTCATTGCAGCACTACTAATAACAGTCAAGCTATGGAAACAATCTAAGTGCCCAAAGACAAATGAATGCATTAGGAAGATGTGGTATGCACACTACTCAGCTACACTAAAAAAAAAAAAAATAAAATAAAAAAAAAAAGATGAAACCTTGCCATTGGTCACAACATGGATGGAACTGGAGGGATTATGATTAGTGGAATAAGTTAGAAGGAGAAAGACAAATACAGGATAGTGTCACTTATATGAGGAATACAGAGAAACAAAACAAATGGTCAGATAATCCCAAAGCAATAACAAATCTTAGAAATCTGATTGTAAAATTGAGGCTACTAGAGGGGGACATCAAAGTAGAGAAGGGGCACACAGGACTATGGTGGAGGACCAAGGGTGCCTGGTGGTGGGTGTGGTGTAACATACATCTGCAGTGGGTGATTCTATGCCTCTAAATCACACACAATGTTGTAAACCAGTGTGACCTCAATTTAAAAAGGTTCAGTAAAAAAGTAAGATCCTTACAAAAATCAATGCAATGGCTGAAGGTGTATGAAAATTATTGTTATTGGAGATCTTAAATGGAAGTTTTCTGAAAAACCAAAACTTCCAGAAATCAATCAGTAATAGAATGCTATTCCAAGCTCCTCAGAACAAGCAGACTTTGTACCCAAGGCTGACGGAACATGATTTTGCTGGATACTCATTCTCATACTTTCCATTGCACACTTCTTTTCTTTATCCTTTCCATTATGATTCTCTGTTTACTGTCTTGAGGTTACACAATTTTGATATCGTGGTGACAGCTCCCTCACTACTATTCATGAAAACTTGCTTGCATCTAGGTTTTGCTTGTCCTACAGTGATCTTGTTTGTCAATCTTTCTGAGACCTTTCTATGATCGTTACAGCTAAGCTTTGCCCCTGACTCCCTGCTTTACACCCTCCTGAAAGTCAATTTAGCTGCTTCTCCTTGAGTAAAATGCTCTCAGTTCATACCTGGCCACAAAGGTGCCATGGAAGAGATAACTATCATGCCATATATATATATATATATATATATACACACACACACACACACACACACACACATTTACCCCAACAAGACTGCGCTCAAACGCTAACTACTTGGTCCAAATTTTCCAACAGTCAAGTCTACCGAGGGCCTGGATTCTTCCAAATTCCTTATTATCATTCAACATACTCTTTTGCCTCTTGAAAAATAGTGGGTTTGCAGACACTTACCCGCTCCTTTTGGTCTATCACCTGGCACATCAGTTGTTGCTTGGACCATTTTATTCTTTGACCAATCCGAGGATTTATCAATGCCTCAATGTTCCTTCAGGGATAGTCTCCACCCAAATTCTGTAAACCGACTTCATGCCACTATGGTTTCAGTCCATCTGATGACTAGCTATGTCATCCATCACCTAATCCTACCACGGAAAACTTTATGGCTAGATTTGAAACATTTTAGAAACCAACCAACAGTATTATTCCCTTCCTCCTGCTATATGGTATTTTTAATATCCTAACATCATGAATCACAAGAGACCCTGATGCCAAATCTAGATTTCATCTCTAAGCAAGTAAATGCCAATCTCCAACACTAAGCTAAAACAGATCTCTCTTCCAAGTGGCCTTTCTGGAAGCTCTAGGGGAGAGTCTATTCCTTAAGCTTTTTTCATTTGCTTGACGCTCTCTATTTCTTTGGCTCATGGGCCCCTTCCTCTGTCTTCAGAGGCAGCAATGCCTGGTGGAGTCCCCCTTTGCATCACCCGGATCTCTGTGTTAAAGAACCTCATGATTACATGAGGCCTGTAGCAAGTAACCTCGGTCCCTTTAAACCTGAGAGCCTCTCCGAAAAGGTTGCTGTACAGCCAGACAGATACTGGCAGGTCAGAATCCGAAAACAAACAGAGTGCTCAGAAGGAGCAGGTAGCCCACTGAGGCCTAGTGAGGCTGAAGGCTCTCAGTTGTCCCACTGCTGCAGGAGTGGGGACGGTGGGCCTGATAGCTCGTTAGGCCCCGGACAGGTCCAACCTACATATAGACATATAAACTAGGAGATGACACTGAGATGTCATCCTTCCTTGCTGAGAGGAAGGAGAGAACCATCCAAGACCCTCCCAGCTATTAGACATAAAATATGGTGAGCAGTTCTTTGTCACCTTTCCTCTTCCTGTGTAGAGAGAAAAGTAATTCTACTCAATTTCTAATGGAAAAATACTCACCAAAGGAAACATCACCAAAGTGCAGAGCAGGGACGTTGAAGTGGAAGGTGGGTCCAATGACGCAGCCTCTGGAAGCAGAAACACAAATAGGAGGAGTGAGGAGGAGACCCAGTGAATTCAAGGTAACAATCAGGAATTGCTAAAAATCATAATTTGGCTTTAAGTCAATTTTACAATCTAGGACTTAAAAACTCAATAAGATGATCCTCTATAATAGTGGTTCAAGAATTTCAAGACTCAAACCACTGGGTGATAGTAAATGGTGCTGTGATTAACTTAGCACCATATTCCTATTAATGGATGAGGAAGGGCAGACAGATCTCAAAACTAAGGACTAGTGGCACAAAATGTTAATACGAATGAAAAGCTATTAACCCAGACAAGAAATAAAATTATAGATCTGATCAAATGATAGACTTGGAAGACTAACCATTGCTTGTCCCACACTTTTACAAAACTGTTTTAATCCACTTCTTACCTCCAGCTTGCTGTGATCTTTACTTCTCTAGGCCTCAGTTTCTTTTTCTTGTGCATAAGAGAGAGGATCAGAATAGGTAGCCCCTATTCTAAATGCTAGTCTACTTCTCTCTCAGGGCAAGGCTTCGTGATATGTGGGTGACGTTCTAGCTTAAAATTAATAAAAGATTCTACAATGTGTGGCTGACTTCAAATGCGGTAGATAGTGCAATGGTCCCCAAGGATGACTATGTGCTGATCCCCTGGATCTGTGAATGTGCCGGGTTGCATGGCAAAGGGGGATTCGGGTAGCAGAAGGCATTAAGGTTGCTAGAGAACTATCTTAGGATAGGGAGCTGATCCTGGATTATCCAGATGAGCCCAGTATCATCGTCTATTTAAACACAGAAGAGGGAGGCAGAAAAGGAGGTCAGAGTGATGCAAAGAGAGGACCCCACCAGCCGTCACTAGTTCTGAAGACACACGAGGGGGCCAGTGAGCCAAAGAATGTGACAACTTCACAAAATTGAAAGTGGTTAGGTAGGAATGGATTCTTGAAGAAGAAACAGCCTGCTGACACCTTGATGTTAGTCCAGTAAAATCCATGTTGGGCTTCAGCTCCACAGACATGTGAAAGAATAAATTCGTATTGTTTTAAGCTATTAAATTTGCGGTGATTTGTTGCAGCAGCAATAGAAAACTAGTACATCAGCTATGATCCCTGTCTTTTAAAATCTCTAGGTCGAAGGCAAGAACGGAAATAATTCCCCATCTCTGCACCAAAGCTTTAAAAAGTTATCAGCAAACACGTGAAGCATTGAGTCTCCTGACCTACCCAGCTCCAGATGTTGGTGACATAGGTGGGTCACACCTGTGGAATGCACTGCAGCCTAGTGACACTCCCAGCTCTTCAGAGCTGAGTATAATGTGGTGAGAGGGTGTGGGAAGCCAGGGAGGAGCCATCGCAGCAAAGGTTCAGTGTGGCAAGTTTCAGTTCTAAAAACCTGCCTCAGAACCATCTAGTCCATCCCATGCTAATGATGCAGAGTGGTTTCAAAGGGAGTGGGGGACTCAGCAAGGAATTAGGATCCAGTTGAGCATGAAGTCAAACAAGCCTACAGGTTAGATGCTTTACTTGTCAAAGGAGTTTTAGGAGGCCAAAGTAACAAATTGATCAAAAGTGTCTGAAATGCACAAAAGGCAGAAGAAAGCGAGAATGAGGCTCACAAATGTGCACAAAGCTGTCATCTAATCATTACAGAAGTTGAAAGCGCCAACGTTAAGTCACATTCATTCAAAGGCACAGATCACTACAGGAGCTGCGACTGAACACCATCTGGACAGAGATTTGGTCACATTAATTCTAAAAGGGGTGCTGAGCACCAGCCTCTGCCAAGATTACGTCCTTCATGAATTGATAGTCTATTAAAATTAAAATTTCACAGACCAAGAGATAGAATGATTGAATTATTATGTCAAGAGAACAAGTGGAGTGCAAAATATCAATGTTATGGTTAAAACTTTACAAATTATCTTTTTTGATTGCTGAATAGTATTCATAAGAAAATAAAAAATTTACACAATACATATGTTACCATAGGGTGGAATAAAGATGCTTGTGAGTAGTTTTAAAAATTATATTCATTTTAGACTTGTTCATCCAACCACTTAAAACCTGTGTCATGTAGCTGCAGGAATAAATAGATACAGGAAAAGTATAACTGCTCTGATCTTTCAAGGCATTCTAATGAAAATTATGTGATACTAAGGAAACTGTACCTGACAACATGAGATGAAGAAACTAAATTTCAGAATCCTCCACATTAACTGTGTAGAGAGTTCTTGGGTCCTAAGGCCCAAGAAAGTGTTCCTATTCCTAGCAAAGGCATAAGATCAAAGTTAATGCTGTGGAGGGCATTCGTGAGTCTGAGCTAAACTTCCTGATGCCACAAAGTCAGAAATCCTTGACTTGAATGGAAATTTCAAGAGCTCATCTGCTGGAGCTTATCAAAGACCCTCAAGGGACCAGATGACCCTCAGTGGGGGACAAAGCTTGCATTTTCAGATTTGCGCTTCCTGCTTCTCCTAACTATCAATACGTCCACAGGTTGTCAGGAACTGTGCATTGTTCTAAAGGTGGGTTGACATTCATAGAATGTGAAAAGGTGCCCCTTCCCATAGTCTGTGCATTCCTGAAGGCTGTCAAGAATGGGCCAGTATAGCACGGCTCATCTATATCTCTGGAAAGCAACCCTGCTTTTCCCTCATGACACAAGTACAGATGTTTTAGTGAAGAAAAATGCAAATGTCTTATGAACGTTCCAGATAAATCTTGAGAGTAAAAAAAAAAAAAGGCCACAATTGTGGCAGGCTGCCTTAGCCAAGCCCAAGCCTCTAAGGCACAAGCATCCATTCTACTTAGTGTTAGGGGCTGTACTGGTCTGTGAGGGAGCCATAATCAATTGAATGGTTTAGATTACAAAAATGTATTTTCCTCACAATTCTGTAGGCTAGAGGCCAGGATTGAGGTGCCACAGCGTTGGTTTACTCTGAAGATGGCCACCTTCTCTTCACAAGTCTTCTATGTGTGTCTGTCTTGATGCCTTCCCTTGAAAGGGAAGGGACATCTTGGGTTAAGATCCAGTCACATGATCCTACTCTACTTAAACATCTTCCTTAAGGTCCTATCTCTACGTGTAGTCACATTCTGAGGTGCTGAGTATTAGGAGGTACTTGAAGGACACAATTCACAATTCAGGGATACTTATATGGAAGAACTGAGAAGAAATGGTAATCACCTTTGAACTGATATTGAGAGTCTGGGTTTCCAACAGAGGTCATGATTTTCCTAGGATCTTTTAGGTCACATGTGTCTGTCTCTTTTCTATGTTATCCCCAGAACCCATGAGAGACCTCAGGGGGCTCTGAGGAGGAGGGGGCTTGCTAGCAGTAACTATAATACTAGAGACTGCCATGGTAATTAACAACCTGTCACTGTGGGAATCCAAACAGAATCAGTGCAATGTGTTTTAAAGATGTCTTTCTAAGCACCAGGAACCAAAGTTATAGATCTTCCCAGAGGGCTGGTCAGAGAATGTCTTTTTAAAACCTGAGGACGAATGCTGCTATTAATGTCACTCAATTATCACAAGCAGCTGGAGAAGTCACCAAAAGACTTCTAAGCACAAAAGCTGCAAGTGTCTAGCCTTGGCTGACTGACAATATAAGTGGACGCTTACAATACCTGGAGGCATCACAAGTAAGAACATTTAAAGAACTCCTCATAGTAAAAATGGGAAATGAAGGTTTCGAGAAAATGATGCAGCCAGAGCTTAGTGAAGAGGGTAATTTTATCCAGGTGTTACTGTGGTGACATATTTTCCCTAAACATCCTCAAACAGAGAAAATAACCCAAAACTAGTTTAATGTTTAAGTCCTTATTACACAAGGCTACGGAGTACAGAAAAACTAAGTCCCAAAGCGGCATTGATATCTGGGTCACAATAATAAGTTACGTGTGTTCAGTAGGAAACATACTGTTATGTTGATATGTTCATATCAGTGAAGACAGTTATGGAGATCCAAGATGTGATCTAGTTTTGCTGTTTAGGAAGGCAGTAAGTAAAAGCTTCAATCAACTCTATGTTGGTTATAGGTGTATCTTACCTAATGGTCAGTTTCACAGGCTCGGGTGAGCCGTTGACACTGACCAGGAACTCTTCCTCAAAGTGCCCTAAGATGGCAGAACTGAAGGAGATCTGGACAGCTTGGACTCCGCCTGGTTCGATGATACCTTCCTTGGGACTGAAAACAAAGCAGGACCCCAAAGCTGAAGTCGGAGGCACCACGTTGAAGAGGGCATCGATGCTGCCTTTGTTGGAGAGGACTGCCTATTTTTTTAAAAAAGGAAAGAATGAAAAAGTAAACAATGGGCCTCCAATACACTTCCATAAAATCACATGGCTGTACTGTTTAATACCAACACAGAAGTAGCTGCAGGAATTAGAACCAAATGAAATTTCCAGGGGAGAAATGGAAACTTTGTTTGAAGATATGAATCCTGAGTCAGAAAAGAACTGTGTTTTCAGTCTTCTCTTTAAAACGGAGTTTGTCAGGTGTGTTATACTCATGCTAGAAAGCCTGATTCTAATTACATCTACCGAAGAAATACCTTTTTTTAAAGATTATTTATTTATGCATACAAGAACTGGGGTACAGACCAGAGGTGTGGGGGGTGAGAGGATTCACCAGAGTGAGGAGCAGAACAGGCGGGTTGACTGAAATACACTGCTAAGGGGAGCAGCGGGTGAGCCAGGAGAGATCTGCTGTGCCATGTGGGTAGCTCCCTGGCTGTGGATTGAACTTGTGCTGCAGTGGCTGCAGATAACTCCACAGATTGCATCTCAACCTGTTGCACCACCAGGGAGGCCCAAAGAAATAACTTTTTTTGAAAATATTCTCAATAAAGTAAACAAGTGGAGGCAGGTATTTCTCAAATAAGCATGGGAAGCAGAAACTAAGCACCCAGAAAAACAAAAAGCAGGTCAGGATAGAGGATCAAGCCTACACCCAAGCCTATGTTGATAGTGTAGCCTGAAGAATATACAGGAGACATCACTGAGAGAGCAAGGGTTCTCTCAACTATACTGTTAGATTGCATCCTGTTGGGATATTTTCATCTCAGATTCTAGTGGATGGATGATTGTCTGAGGACTCTTCTGCAAGCAATTGTTTTACCCCGGAAAAGTTTGATTCCTACACACCGGTGTTTTAGAAGCACATCATTGCCCATTGCCTGCTAACTAGTTATGTATGTGCATATGTGTTTGTGTGTGTGTGAAGAGATCATGCCTGGCATTCAGAGACCTTCACAGCTCACTCAGTCTCCTGCTCCCCTCGCCACTATTCCTGCCCATGAACATGCACTACAGCCACTCAGTTCTATTCCTGGGCTTCCAAGCCACAGTCTCCATTCCTCACCAGCGCTTATACCTGAACAAGGGGACAGCACTTCTGACATAGGTACTCCCCATACTCAAGCCCTGGAGAAGAAGAATGCACAGGCAATCATGAGACACGTTCAGAAAGGTACAGGAAATGTGGAGCAAGTTGGGAACATAGAAGTCATATGATAATTTCTAGAAGAAGTCAAATGGGAACAGAGATTAAGGAGAGTAAGTTCTGAAAAAACATTGCAGATTTTTGTGTGCAGATTTTTTCATTGATGGTCATTCCTGGCCTTGAAAAAGAGGGTATTCCAAAGGAGTTTGATTATAGAAACCAGAGAACAAATGTCTAGGGAGTAAGTGGTTGCAGAGGAGAAAGTGGTCAACTATTCTAGATTCCTGTTTTGAGGTTAGGGTAGGTTATTACTACTAATCTACTAATTAGGTTACTACTTAGAAGCAGAAAGATGAGAAAAAGAACCAAGAGCTTTTGTAGAATAGAGAAAGACAACCACTTTCGCCAAGAAAAGTGAACAATACACCAAAACTTGCATTTTACTCACTTTTGTGTTTATTTCCTATTCCCCTTGCCTGCTATAAGTTTCCTGGAAGTAAGAATCATGCTTCACCTTTTGTTACTTACAAGTAGAAAAGTGACTACCACCAAGAACTTGGAAACCAAACTACTTGGGTTCTAATCCCAGCTTTGCCACTGAGTTACTGGCTGTGTGACCTTGGACAACCTACTTAGTGTCTCTGTGCGCCAGTTCCCCCATTTGTGAAATGGAAGTCGACTAGCTTCTGAGGTTGCTGAAGAGTAAACTTATTAATTTATGTAACTCTCACAACAGTGCCTGGAAAAGAGTGCTTCTAAGTGAGTGATCATTATTTATACCCCCAGAGCCACACAGAATGGACTTAGAATTTACCTGTGCTGAAGAAGCATCTGACATGCATTAGTGGTGACTTCAAGACAGCTCAAAGGTGGTTGTGGTGAATTAGAGGATGGTTGTTCTTCTCTCTGAGAAGATGCAATAACTGCCTCTCTATTTTGTGAGCAACAGCTATATTTTACTGAGATTTTGTATAAGGTACCAGCTTTTCCTTTTCAAAAAGAATGCGGGCCATTCTTTTCCCCCTGACAGAGAAAAACATGGAGTACCTACTTGTATACACACAATCCAGCAAACCATTTAGGATATAATTCTGAGACTTTAGATTACCAGGAATACCCTTACCCTTGCAGTCCAGGTCCTTGGAGTGCAAAAAAATTGTAATAGCATGTCACCTCTCATTTGTTTTCCTTGTAATTACACTGGGGAATAGGGTATCCTCTTGCGGTTATGGTTTATTCTTTAAGTATCTGCTAAGCTCAGCAATGACGAAGGGCTCCAGCTAGCTATTCAAATTAGTCTCGAGTAGGTAACATAATAAATTGAAAGAGAGATGCAGTGAGGCATCAGCGTTAAATACGCAGAGAGTGCAAAATATTCCCATAAGAAGCACCTTACCATGTCCTTCTCTGCCACTGCATGGCTCTGAAAACTGCCCAGTCCGATGTGGCACCTCATTTAACAATGACTTAGCCGCCTGTGGTTTACTTAACTATTCAAATCTGGGAGGGTGGGAAGTGGTAGCCTAAAGTACACTTCTGTTAAATTTGCAAGAAAAGATTACTCCATTTGGGGAAACCCTATCCATTTTGCCTCTGAACTAACCGTCCTTTCCTGATATGGCATCCATCAAATCTGTGCTGATAAATTACAGACAAATACCAATTTTGTAAGAACGACTGTAGCTTTTTCTTCTCCCTCAATGACCTTTTTTTTTTTCCTGCACAGCAATAAAAGACAATGCCACATGGCAGTCATGCCCCTTTCCATTTTATGATGGCCCTGGCTTTTTCATTTCAACTGGGCTCTTAGGTACACTTCACCTCCCCCTGCAGGTAACCTCGCTATTCACCTTCTGCATTACTGCACGGAGGCCCAGGGTACTGAGTGAATGGGGACGAGATGCACTGTAGGGGGCGCTACAGCACAGACACAACCTTGCATGCCAGTGCAGGGGGCCTGAATCTGTGCTTGCTGTAGGCTGGATTTGCCCACGCTGAGTGCCAAGCGAGCAGTTGAAAGGTCAGCTAAGGGCCCTGCTCTCCCACAGGGCACAGCGCCCTAACGACCCAGTGCTCCCCGCCAGCGTGAATTGTGTGGCTTACATAACACACGTGGCACAGTCCAGCCTGTGCCCTCTACGTCCGGTTCTGCACGGCCTAGCCATGCGAGCGGTTACACTCAGCTGTACGCAAGTGACCCCCGTCGCCTCCTACCCAGACCTCTGCCACACCTTCCTGCACGCCCTCTCCTCTGCCAGGTTATGGCTGAAACCCCAGTTCTGCAGTCCACAAGTTAGGTGCAGCAGCGCTGAGGTGAAAGGGGCCTGTTCTCAGCTACAGGGGGGCGATCTGCTGCTGATTGCCAGCCTGGTTTAGGGCTTAGGTAATCGATACAGTCCACTTCTATCATGTATGAGATAGTGAATATTTGTGCATTTGTTTGTGGCCCTATATAGCACTCCCTTAACTAGCACAAATGCTGAAAGGTTATATAGCTCCTCAGCTAGAAATGCGGAGGGTCTCTGCACCTCCTCTTTAGGGATTGCGTGAGGCATGAATGAAGGAAAGCAGGTATGCTCTACACGCATGAGGGGTGAGCTGCTGATGGTATTAATCAGAGAGCCCTCATCTATTTTCATTTGTTAAACAGTGCAATTAAAACCTACCTTTCGGTTTTGTAAGCAGTAGAAACTGGGCACACACAGTAAAGCAAGGAGCCTGGTGCCGCTCTGTCACTCATTAAAGAACTGCTTTAGTCACTACCTCTATAGAAACACAAACATTTACAATCTAGGAATCTGTCTGAAATAAAGTCTCAACGGTTATAGTTTGATAAGGTGTGAAAAAAGTACCCAAGGGACAAACATGGTAGGTAAGATAACAGAGAAATAATTTTGATCCTGAAGAATCCAGGAGGACCTTTTATAAAAGGATCATTTTCTATTTAATTGGAAAGACAAAGCAGGGAGGTCACTTCCAGAAATCATGAGGATTGGTTTTTAAATCATGAATTAGAGACTAGTGCGTTCAGAGAAGATTCTGAGGTGTGAAAACAGCTATTCTCATTAGGATATTCTGGAAAATGTAAAAGGTTCTCTATCCTGTGATCTGTAGGATTTGTGTTGTCAGAGAACAAGCATTAAACAGATGGGGAGATGTATTTATGGATTTCCCCTTTGCAATCTACAAAATGATGAGAATAAAGCCAATTAAATTATGGTTTTGATGCTTTTTAGCTTTTAGGAAAGTTAGAGAGGCTGAAGGAAAAAAAAATCACTCCCCTTAGTAAAGCTAAGAGAGAGAGAAGAGCCAGATCATTCTGGGGTCTGAGTAAGCTCTCTGCCAAGTGGGTGTGACTACACATTTTCTATCAACACACACACACACACACACAAATATGCAGGTACTGTTTGGGTCTCATACATAATTCTAGTGCTTACCTCATAACAATGCACAGATCCAACAAAAACTTTTCCAATGTCCAGCAATTCAAAGTTGAAGTGAATCTTTGGTCCCATTCCTTCTCCTTTGATTCGGAGGGGCAGACGAATCTCTCGCCCTAAAATAATTCAGATTTTATAATACTCCAGGCAATGCTTTATCACCTCCAAATTACCTGCCATTTGTTGCCAATGTGAGCCATCAAGGTTTCCGCACCAAACTCCTGCACTAGACACAAGGAACTGCAATTTAACCAAGGCTGATGAATTAGCTTATCTTTAGGAAACAGAAATACTGATAGTTTCTTATCTTTAGGGAGCAGCTTATTTTGCAATTTAGGCTGATACTTCAGCAGAAAAAAAGATAATTAAAAATTTTAAGCAAGTCTTAACCATATTCTTAAGTTTCTCATAAAGCCAAGTAATTCTTCTAAGTAGAGAGGTGCTTCTCATGAATGAGAGATACCTTCCCTGCAAGGGATGGGGTAAACAGAGAACAAACATAACCTTTAAAGTATTGACTGGCTTATTTCCTTTCAAAATGGTATGTCTTCATTTGATAACACGATCATTATGAAATATATTATAGAGAAAATGTAAATTCTCTCATAATCCCACCACCCAAAGACAACTACTGATAGTATTTTTGTGCCTGTCCTTCCACACTTAATCACATTTAAAGACAGTGTAAATGAGAACACCGCTATATATTATTTTGTAACCTACTCTTTTCATTTAATTGCTGAAACATTTTTATGTCATCACCTAAAGATGATGTAATTTTTTAGAACTAGTTTCTCTTGTTGGATATGTAAATGGTATCCCACTTTTCAGTATAAGTTATAAGTTAATCCATATCTCCATATCCTTGAACACATACATGGAACATATTCCTATATTTTCTCTCAGTACTTTCAAGATATTCTATTGTCACTTATCTTTCACTATTTCTGTTGAGAAGTCAGCTCATGGTCTTATTGCTCATTTGAGGTAATATCTCTTCCTCTGACGCTTTAGGATTTTCTTTTTGCTTATGATTTTCCACAGTCTGACTATGATATTCCCAGGGGTGATCTGTATTCATGTTTTGTGGGGTTTGTGGCACTCAGTGAATCTGTGGGTAAATGTCTTTCATGAGTGTTGGGGAAATGTTTAGTCATTATCTCTTCACATGGAGCTCAGGCTCCATTTTCTCACATCTTTTCTTCTGAAAACGCTGGCTTGATACAGCTGGCTTTTTGGCCACATCTCATTTGACTCTTATGCACTTTTCTGTCTTTTGTTTCTACATCATTCAGACTATTTACTTTTGATTTATCTAATTTCTGTTTTACAAAGTCTGTCTCTGACTGTACCTATTAGGCTATTAAATTCTTCTGAGTTCTCAAATTGACACTGTAACTTTTCAGATTAAACTTTCCACTAGACTTTTTACAGTGTCCAGGACTCTGCTCAATCTCGCCTTTAGTAAGAACATTTAAAGAATCTGTTGGATAATTCTATTTTCTGGCTCCTAGTAAAGTTTATATTGCTTATTTTGTGTTACCTCTACATGTGCTTGGTTATTTTTGATTGAGGTTTGACCAGTATATACAAAAGAAAAATATGTAAAGACAATTTAAAGCTCTAAGATGTTATTTTCCTCCAGTCTCTGGCTTGAGACTTGGGGGCATTAGCATTTCCAGATAACCCAATCTAACCTTTCTCACTAAGATTCCCTGAAAGAATTAGGCCCTGCAGCAACAGTGACTATTTTCTCAATTCTCCCAAGAAGGGAATAGAGCTAGTATTTAGGTACAAAAGAGAGAAGTTAATTCCTCATATATAACAGATGGCTTAAAACATTAGGGTTTGACTATCTTCTGGAACCCCAGTGAAGAAAAGCTGTCTTAATCAAATTGAGAATTGAAAATGATTTGAAACTGAGCTTTAGTTCTTGGGAGGGCTGATTCATTTCTAGCCCCTGCTTCTATGGGTCCCAGCCTCAAGCTTGGGAAATTATTAATGCCTTCTCCTTGGGCATGCCATGAACTCCTACATTTTCTTCCCTAATTCCTTGACATTTGGGTCTTCCTGCATTTTCTAGCAAAAAGGTAGTGAAAGGGTAAAGCAGCCTCCAGGGCCTCCCCTGGTGGCACAGGCTGTTGAGCGCAGCGCTGTGAAGCTGTCAGCAGCCTCTGCAGCACTGGTTCGATCTCAGCCGGCGAGGGTCCCAGATGGCACAGCAGACCTCTCCTGTCACGCCCGCTGCTCCCCTCAGCAGTGTATTTCGTCAGTCTCCCTGTTCTGTTCTCCGCTCTGTCTCTGGCGAATCTTCTCACCCTCCCGTGCATCTGGACTGCACCCCAGTTCTTGTATAAATAAATAAATAAATAGTTAAGAAAATAAATAAATAAAGCAGCCTCTAAAGTCTGATTGGTTTGGCTTCCTTCTCCTGGATCTTAGCCTCCTATTTCTCTACTGACCTGGCAGCTCTCTTTTGCCTTCAAACAGGTCTTAAAAAATATTTTACCTTGTTCTTCTTGCTGCTCTTAGAGAAAGAGTTGATCTAAATTTCCCCACCCATCATTATTGGAAGTACAGATGCCCAAGCACAGGGGTGTATGTTGGCCATTTTGATGGCTATGGCCATTTCCCCATCCAGAATAATTTGCACACAAACATCAACAATATTTTAGGGTTGCTGTTGCTCCATATCTTCCCTGAAAGTGGGGCTATCATCACCTTTGAAAATCTTCACTAGTTAAACAGGGTTTTTTTAAAATTCATGCCATTTAAACTTCAAGTTATTTATATGGAAAAATTACATATTTCCTCTGTGTGCAACATTTTGAATATTTAAAATACTTTGCTGCTCTGTTAGATATAATTTTCAGTATTACCTCAAATACACTATGAACAATCAAGTCATATTTCTAATTTATTATCATTGTAATACTTTGAGATACTTCATGTTCTGCAGAAGTGTTGCTGTTTTGCTTTTGTATTTTTAATGTTTTCTCTCCATGACTGCACTTTTGAAGACAGGAACACTTGTCTCTGTGTCCCCTCTAGAGCAAGGTTACTTTGATTACAAGAAACAAGAGCAAAGAGAAGAGAAACAAGCATACCAGTATTTGGAATAGCTGACTCATTCAAAGTTCCCCCAACCCATCTGATCCCCAACCCACCTGAAGAACTACTTAGCCCTAGTCCTCTAATGATCAAGAACACTCTAAAAAATGAGTAAAGCTTCCAGAAAACCCAAACTCACCATCCTACTCCATTTAGAGTTTTAATACATGCAATGATTTGTACTCCTTGGTCAAAAGAAAAGTATTTTGACAGAGATCCAACTTTCAGAATGGCAAAGAAAAAAATTGCAACTATATTGTGCACTAAATTGCAAGACTATTTATAACTGTCAGGCTTAAAGATTTCTTCATCTGTTACCTTGACTGCTTTCCTTAATAATAAAAAAAAAAAAGAAAAAGGAGATGTGTTGTAATAAAGCAGAGAGCCAATGTTTCTTTGGGAATTATTAATTGCTTCCAGAGTTAGTCTTATTTGCAACTACTACCTTCTCTCTTCATCCAGGACAGAATGGGAGTACAAGTAATACCTGGTCTTGCACTTGCAAGAGCTAGTAAATTTTACAAACGCTACTATTCCACAAGATTTTCCAAGCAGAGATTTTTCAGTCTTGGCAAAAGGCAGCAAGAGAGACAAACCTGAAGAACCACTTAGCCCTAAGGACACATTCATTACTAGAAGAGCAACATATTAAAGTGTATTTTAAAAAGACAGAAGTTTCTTATTTATTACAGTGTCTGGTTTCACACATGAGAAGCAGAGAAATGCACTAGAGAACCCCTTCAACAGGCCAGAAATACCTGAATGCAAGAGTTTACTTTGCATTAAATATCATTAAATGTAACTATAGGCGTTCAAAAAATTGGCCAGCTAAGCTATCTTAGATGTTGGATAACATACTTGAGTTCCATTTCTGTGCAGTAATATTGGAAAAAGGTGGGGATGATAATAAATAGGAATAACAAAATACCATTATTTATATATTTTAGGATGTCTACCTGGAAAACCCTAAGGAATCTATAAATAAATTTTGTAAATTAATAAGAGAGAAAAATTGCTGGTTACCAAACAAATATATAAAAGTCAACTGTATTTCTATACACAGTAACAATCAGAAAAATAAAGTTCTAAGATACTATTTACAATACAACAAAAATATAAAGTGCCTAGAAATAAATCTAGCAAAATACACTTAACAAACTTCAAGAAGAAAATTTTAAAACGTTGTTGAAAGATATTTAACAAAGATATGAATAAATGACAACCAGGTTATGCTCTTCAAAAGAAAGATTCAATATCATAAAGTTGTCAATTCTCTAATTGATCTAGCCCTATAATTTCCATGCCTTACTAAACAAAATACCAGCAGGTAGAATTTGGTGGAATTTAGATTGATTATAAAATCCTAATATAAAATAAAAATACAAATAATAACGTTCATAAAAAGAATAAAGTGGAAGACTTGCCCTTTCATATATTAAAATCCAGTATAAAGCTATTATAATTGAGATGGTGTTGCATTAGTGCACAAAGTGAAAAAGGACTAAAAATACAGAACTCAGGACAAAGAGTCCATTTCACATACACCAGAGGGACAAAATTTTAAAACTTGATTAATTGTAAGGTAAGTCAAGGACATGTTATATAGAGCAGTTCACTGCATGTTTGCAGCCCAGAACTGTTTAATGTACAGGTATTTCTTGTAGTCCAAAATCTCACTAACAGTACTTTCACATTCAACAATCCTATGACATAAATAATTTCATCTAAATTTATCATCCAAATTAAACCCAAGCTATAATGCATATGTATGTCTGCTATAGCCAAAGCATTTACGTTGCTTGAATTTTCATGATAAACCTAAGCTGTCCAACCTAAGCTGTTCTGAGGAGACAAGTGTCTAGCGGTATCCTTATTTAAAATGTATTGTGCAAAGGAAAGAAAATTACAGACCAACATCCTGGATGAACATCAATGCAAAAATTTTCAACAAAATATTAGCAAATCAAATTCAACAATGTATCTTATACACCACGATCAAGTGAAA